CGATATTTCGTAATAAAAATTATTTTTTTCCATTTATTTTTTATTTTTTTAAATTTTTTAAATTTTTTATAAAACTATTTTTTATTTTTTTAATTTTTTTTAATACAAAAATTTATTTAAATTTCTTATTTCATTGTATCAGGTGTTTAGTTCTCCATTTTTTTTGTAGAATTATATTTTAATTTAAAATATAAAATCATTACATCACCACACACACATAGTTTTTTTTTTTTTTTTAATTTTTTTATAATTTTTATATAATTTTTTTTTTTAATTACACACATTAGTAATTATAGAAAGTGTGCGTGTGTTATTTTTTTTAATTTATAAATAATTTTTTATTTATTTTTTTTAATATTTTAACACTATATATAAAATTATTTTACTTTATATTAAACATATATAATTAATATAGAGTAGTTATAAAACAACTTAAGAAATATACACATAATACATAATTAAATAAATAAATAAATACAAGTTGATAATTATATATATTTTTAAAACTGGATAAATAACATTTAGTAATAGTAGTAGCAAAAATAATGTCAGATTGGGATTTTTTAAATAATAGTAGTAATAATAACAATAGTAACAATAATAGTAATGGTGTTACACCATACCAAGCACAGAATGGTAAAAGTAAAGATGGATTTTCACATCTTTTAGAGGATAATTATTTTGATAGCAGCCCTAAAAATACAGCTACTTCGAATACATCCAGTCCTCCAAACAAACAGGTGGATACTTCAAAATTCATTACTCACGTTTTAACACCAAAAGATACTCTCCAAGGTTTATCATTAAAATATAACGTTAAAGTAAGTGTGGTGCGCGCTATAATAGAGTATCATGTAGAATAATAGATATTAATAAGAGCTATTTTATTATTTTAATTAGATAAATGATTTAAAACGAGCAAATAATATTTGGACACAGGATTCATTATTTATAAAGAAAACTATATTAATTCCAGTCGAATCAACTGATTCAAATTCTGACAATGGTAGTAATGGTAGTGGAAGCGGCGGTAATAGTTTAAATAGTAGCTCAAATAATATTAGGAGTATGGAGGGTGGTAATATAGGTAACAGTAGTAGAAATAACAGTGCAAATAGTTTCGATAATTATTTCCCAGATTTTGAAAAGATGAATAAAACTTTCAATTCACAAGCTCAAAAAGAGAAACCTGTTCTACCAAAATCAACATTCAACAAAGCAAGTAATGCGAATACTGCAAATGATATGAATAACAATGATTTAAATTATAACTTTAATATTAGACCCAATTCTACTTTAAGTTTTTCACCAGTAGTAAACAGTTTGGATCATAAAACTCAAACACAATTCTCATTATTAGATGACGAATTTAATCCACTTTAAAATAAAATACAATCAAATTCTTAAATATCATAATAACAACAACAACAACAATAATCAATAACAACAACAACCTATCTAATACATATTTTATATTTAAATATTATTATAAAAGAAACAAAAAAAACCAAAGTAACTTTATTTAATTATGATTATTTTAATTTAATTAATTATATTTAATATAAAATAAATAAATTCACATACTACGTAGTATATATAAAGTTTTATATATATTAAAATAATATAAATTTTATTTTCTTATTTCTTTTATTTTATTATTTTAAATATATATTTTATTGTTTTATTTATTGGTTAATTAAAGTAGAATCCTAAAACAGAAAGAGTAGGATTTTTTCCCATTACAATAAAAAGTATATAACAAGGGAGGAATAAACCGATTGGATATAAGAAAAATTTGGTATGTTGTAAGAATGGTAATGCACTGTAGCCTAAAAATGTAATATAATAATAATATGAAAATCCTGCAAAATACAAAGTATTTGAAAAAATGATTGCAAATAATGAATTTGAAAGTAGAATTGGTAAAAAGAAAAACTATAATTTAAATTGGCAGTTAGTATAAGTTTGACATTGTTAATGGTTTTTGTATATTATTTATAGTTGAGGATACTTACTTGAAAAACGTATAAAAATATAAAAAGTGGGAAAAATGAATTACAATGAATATCGAAAGCATATAACCATTCAACATTTTGGTCAACACTGTGGTTATGAGCCGAAACTCTTAAAAATTTATTGGTTATCCACCAGCCTAAAGTTGCAATAACAAGTCCAAGTGAAATAAAATCGACAAATACAGCCCAAAACATTGTTCTAAAATAAATAAAAAATAAAGGTGACCATTAATATTAATGTCCTATTTTTGAGAAATCAATTTTATAAAATAATTACTTTATAATATGATAAAATGATAAATAATGAAAAGTAATTGCATAAGATAATGATGCTATTGCCATAAAGAATACTAAAATAACTGCAAATGCTGGGTCATCTCTTGCCCATTGATTCTTGGTTTCTAATTTAAAATTAAAGAATGAAATTGTTAGAAATTTTCGTCCAATATTACAAATACACTCTATTATTGTTGTTTCTTTAATACATACGTTTATGCCAAGAGGTAACTTTATAAACTCTAGATGGACCAAAACATAAATAAAACATTATCCAAAAAGTATATTCTATGTCCATTTGGGGATAATGAAAAATTCTTCTAAAATATTCAGGTATTAACCTCCTATATCTTGACGATGACCCATCCCTTGTAATTCTTGAGTTATTTATATTTGTATATGATATTGGTAACATTTATTTATAAATATGTAATGTACTATTACTATTTTTATAAAATATACATAAATATTTGTTTCCTATATCTTTAATCCTACCGTATTTATATATATATATGTTATATTTGTTTTATTTATAATTAATTACTATATTGACTTTGATTTTGTTTAGTTATTCTTATATAACTAATCTATATTGAATTTAATTGTTTTATATTTATATATTTATGAGCAAGTCGAATTTAATTATTTAATTATTTAACAAATTATTTAATATCAAAACTTGGTTTTTTTTTTTTTATTTTTTTGATTATGAAAATTTTTTTGAAAAAAATATAAAAAAAAAGAAAAAAAAAAATTATTTTGATTTTTCTTTAATTTAACAAATAACAAAATTTTAATTTTTTTATTTATTATTATTTTTAACTTTAAAAATCGGCCTGATTTATAAAAAATAGAAATAAAATATGTATAACTATAAAAAATAATAAATTTAATTTTTAAATTAAAAATATTTAAATAAAAAAAAATAAAAAAAAAAATAAAAAAAATAAAAAAAAAAATAAAAAAAAAAAAATTAAAATTATAATTTTTTTTTTTTTTTTTTTAACAATTTGAATTATTAAAAAAATGGATAATAATAATGCTGATGTTGCAAACCAAGTTGACCCAAATTCAACTAATATTAATAATGAAAATAATATAGATCCAAATAATAATGAGGATACAAATGTTCAAATAGTTATAGAGAATGAACCAAATGATAATAATACAACCCAAGTAAACAGCACAGATAACAATAATTCTCAAACAACAGCAACAGCAACAGCAACGGCAAATGATAGTCAAGGTAATGAAGGAGATTCTATGAATATAGATGGCGATAAAAAAAATGAAGCCAATCCAGATAATAACACAAAAAACATTACCCCACCACCATCCACAGAAAACAATACCAACAGTCAAAATAATAACCAAAATCAAAACAATAGTAACAACAACAACAACAATAACAATAACAATAATAAAAATAACAACAAAGATAATAATAATAGTGATAGTAATGCTAATAATAATATAATTGATATCAATGGACCAACTATATTGTTTAAAAATTTAAATGAAAGTTTAGAAAAGTTAATAGAAAGTTTAATTAAAAATGATAGAGAGAATCAAATATTTATCGAAGATACATTAGATAGAAAGATTGATACTTTATTAAATAATTCAAAGAAATTAGAAAGTTATTTTGTTTCATTACAAAATAAATACAGCGAAGAAAAAAATAAAATTCAATTAAAACAAGAGTTAATTAAAGTCAAAAGAGAAATTGAAAATAAAGATAGATTAATAGAAAAATACAAATATAAAGTTAAAGAATGGAAATCACATTTCGAACCATTATATCAATCACAAAACCATATTTTACATTCATCAGCTCAAGGTTTATCAGGTGTAGAGAATCAATTCTCTCCAGTATTTACTCCAATGCCAAGCACCCCAAGCATTCTATCAAATCTATCACAACCTAAACCCTCACCATCTTTAGGTTTTGGTTCAACAATTTTATAAATAGATCGATCATCAAAGGTTGAAAAAAAAATAAAAAAATATAAATTGTATAATTTAAAACAAGAAAACTCTATGGATATTTATTATTTTAATTCTTTTTCATATATAATTAATAAATTATTATATTTTTATATTTTTAGTATATATATTATTTATTTATTTTTATTTATTTATTTATCAAATTTTTTTATAATGGGTTGGTACAAATGGCATTTTTGAGATTGTAGCTGGAATAATTTTATTACGGACACTAACATTAACTTTTGTACCAACTTTAGAGAGTGGAGTACTGACATAGCCCATTGAAATGGCTTGACGGGTAACTGGTGAGAGTGTACCACTTGTAACACGACCGATTTCTTGATTGTTTGATGGATCTAAAATTAAAGAACCTTCACGGGCTGGAGAGCCTTCAACGATAAGACCAACACGTTTTTGAGATACACCATCTTTAAGTTGTTGTTGAATTTTTGAGGCACCTGGGAAACCGCCTTCTTCTCTACGACGTTTGCTGATTAACCAATTTAATGAGGCTTCGATTGGACTAATTTGATCATTTAAATCGTGACCATATAAACAAAGACCAGCTTCAAGACGAAGTGAATCACGTGCACCTAAACCAGCTGGTTTAATACCATGTTCAGAGTTGGCATTACTAGTCGATAAAAGGATTTCAGCTAATTGAACGGCTTTATTGGATGGAACTGAAATTTCAAAACCGTCTTCACCAGTGTAACCACAACGTGTAACAATACAATCAATACCAGCAATGTTCATAACTCTTTGTGTCATAAACTCCATGTTGGTGATATCTTGTTTAACCATTTTTTGAAGAATAACTTCGGTGGCTGGACCTTGAATAGCAATTAATGAAAGATCTTCTAATAATTCCATAGAGACGTCATTTCCCTTCTCTTTAAATAACTTCATTTGTTGGTTAATGTGTGCAATATCTTTATCGGCACAACCAGCATTAACTACGACATATAATGAATCACCTGCATTTGTAATCATGGTATCATCGATAATACCACCATTTTCAGTTGTAAATACTGATAATTTTGAGTGACCTGCTGCTAATGATTGTAAATCTGCAACAACAATTGATTCGAAAAATTTAACACGATCTTTACCATGGAATCTTAATTGTCCCATATGTGAAACATCAAATAATGATGATTCTTTTCTGCAATGCATATGTTCCTTTAAAACACCTGCTGGGTATTGTACTGGCATTTCCCAACCACAGAATGGTACCATCTTACCACCCAATTCCTTGTGTAATTGGTTTAATGATGTTTTCTTTAACTATTATTGATCATAATTTAAAATTTTCGATATTTTAAATGATTTTTATAATAAATAATTTTGATATAATTAGAAATTTTTAAAATTTTTTAAAATTTTTTTTATTTTTTTTATATTTTAAATTAATAACTTACAACTTCAGTTGATGAGCTGAAGAAACATTTATTTGAGGCTCTAGTTGAGGCTTTTAAAGATTTTAAAAACAAACCTGAAGTATTCATTTTGACACAATGCTATTGAAAAAACCCTTTAAAGTGGTGAATTTAAAAAAAAAATTAAAAAAAAAAAAAATTATATTTTTTAAAAAAATTAAAAAAAAAGAAAAAAAAATGTTTTTGACGATTACTACTTTCAAAATATCTTTTTTTTTTCTTTTTTTTCAGACATACACATATATAAATATTTTTGTTTGTTATTTAAACTAAAATTTAAATATAATTGTATGGATATAAATAATTAAAATGTAATTTTTTTTTTTTTAAAAAATTTTTATATTTTGAATTTTAATATGGTAAGTGTGTTCATATTATAAATTTTAATAATATGTATGAACACACTTACCACACAACAAACAAAATTTTTTTTTATTTTAATTCATTTTTTTTAATTATTTACAAATAATAATAATAATGTCAAATACACCAAAAGTATTTTATATTTCAGGCAGTTCATCTGGATTTGGTTTAATCCTTACTAATAAGCTTTTAGAAAAGGGATGTTATGTTGCAGCCACAAGTAGGGATAAACAAAAATTAACCAAGAATGTAGAACAAAGTTTTGTTACAGAAAATAATTTTTTAGCATTAGAGGTCGATGTTAAATCCGATGAATCTGTAAAAAAATCAATTGAGGATACTATTTCAAAATTCTCTCGTATTGATGTCGTTATTAACAATTGTGGTTATTCTCAATATGGTGCATTAGAAGAACTAAGTGATGAAGAAATAACAGAATGCTTTAATGTTAATGTATTTGGTTATATTAGAGTTATCCGTAACTCATTACCACACTTAAGAGCCAATAAAACATTCCCAGAAGGACCACGTATCATCAATATTAGTTCAAGTAGTGGATTTTCATCATATTTACCAGGTATAGGAATTTATGGTGCTACAAAGCATGCAGTAGAAGGTTTATCAGAAAGCTTATCACAAGAGCTTTTAGAATTTGGAATTCATGTCACTACTATTTTACCTGGACCATATAGAACCAATTTTTCAAATAATATACAATCACCAAAAAATCCAATACCAGAATATACATCGGTTAGAAAAAGCGAGGCTATGTTTAGTGAACAAAGTGGTAAGCAAGCTGGAGATCCATACACTGGTTCAGATTGTATCATCGATGTTGCTTTTCTCGAAAAACCACCCGTCCATTTTTGGTTAGGAAAGTCAGCTCATGATGCCGCAAAAAGAAAAATGGAAAGAGTTACAGAAGACCTCAAAGTTCTTTATGATCAAAGTATCAATACACAATATAAATAAAAATACAAATAATTTTTTTTTTTTTTCCAAAGTCAAAAAAAATATATAATATAAAAAATATATTATAATTTGATTATAAATATATTTATATAATGTTCACTTTCCGAGAGCACTAAGAAAATTACACGAGTATCATAATAAAATTAAAAAAGATAGCAATAAAATCATTAGAATCTGGGGGAGTTAGTTTATCATCAACAATTTTTAAGTTAAAATTCTCCTCTATTTCCTTTTCCTCTTTACCATCTGGATCTATGATAAAAAAAATATAACTATAAAAGCTTGGATTTTTTCCCAATTTTGCATCTTTGTGAAGGATGTGAGTTTTTCTTCTGGTCTTTCACATTCCTTATTTTAAACTTTTTCTTTGGAGAATGATTATATCTGTAAATAAATATTAAGTTAAAAGAAATAAAGATTTGAAAAATAAAATAAAAATAAAAATTAAAAAAAAAATAAAAAAATATATAAATATATATATTTAAAATTTATTAAAAATTATAAATTTCTTTTTTAGAAACCAAATTGTTATTATTTTTTCATTATTATTATTCACACTATTATTGTTATTATAATCCATATTCTTATTATTTAGGAAGTTGTTAATGATAATCTTGATTGACCTATTGTATTTAATTTTTTACTACTTGAATTTACAACAGAGAATTTGGTTTCTTGAATTAATGATTTAATTTGTTTAAACCATTTTGTACGATCTTGATCATTATTAAAACAAAGAATATAATTACTATTTTCTTTTGTATTTATAATTTCTAAAGCATATTTTACAGAGTCGGTATCGGAAACAAACATTAATCTTGCAAAATTGATTGGGATTTTAGCTTTTAATTTTAATTTTTTTGATTTAAATTGATTTATTGTTGATGACAAAACATTTGTACCAGAAGAACAAATCAATATTAAATTATTGAATAAATAAATAGTTCTTGAGAGTGAGTCTTCAGAATTTAATTCTTTAACTGATGATACTATACCTTCCATTAAAAAGGTTCTTCCTTTTTCCATAAGATCAGTATCTTCGAGTCCATCGATTGAGTTTTGAAGTTCGACAATTTTTTGAAAGATTTCGAGGGTTCTTTTTGCTTCATTAATTGATTGGACGATATCAGAGATCTTTTTATCAACCTCTTCTAATGGAGCACGATCAGGATGGTCATCAGGTGTGAACCTTATTACCTCTTTGATTAATAATGGATATTTACAAATTCTTTGCACCGGTTTAATGATAAAACTGTTTAATGGTAAACCTCTACATCTTGGGTCGTTCATACAAGAATCTAAAAACTCTCTAAATGCTGGATTCTTTAGTTTCTCTTCCTCGAGTAGTTTTAATGCAGCTTCTTGATGCGAGCAATAGGCTGTATACATTTTTAAATAATGTGACATGTCTAGAAAAGCTTTACCAATATTTACATTTTCATAGGTTGGGTCTTGATGTTTTTCTAATTCCTTAAGTACATTTGAGTTGACAGAAATTAAAATTTCTATATTTGAAAAAAGAGTCTGTATATCTTTTGGTGAGAGTAAACCTTTTTCTTTGATTTGATTCAAGAAAACGTCAATTACAATATAAAGGTCACGTACGTAATCTTTTTCTGTAACAATGATTTCTTTAACAATTTTAATACGAAATCTTTTATTCTTTTCTTCCAACGATTCACCTAATGGGCCATTGCTGATAGGACCATCCAAAAAATTCAAATGATTGGTGCCTACCATGCCATTCATTAAATTATCAGTCGAGGTTGATGGTGACAATGAGTGTGGTGATACACTCGATGATGAGGATGGTGAAGATGGTTCGGTTGCAAAACCATTTCTTTTGGCAATTGGCTTTAAAATATTATCTGGTGGTGAGGTTGTTAATGACTGGGCTGTTGGTTTAAGACCGATTGAAATATCTCCACCCATTAAAGTAAGAGGTGAGGCTGATCTAATGGTAAGTCTTCCGATCCTAGCTCTTGATTTCTCTTTAGTCAACTGTCTACCAGCGATTGTTGGTGAATGAGTCCAAACAGTTGTTTGTTTAATATTTGAAGCATTATTGTTATTGTTGGATGAAGGTATACCAATTGGTTGTGTTTTGACTGGTGGTGGTGGAGGTGCTGGAATAGATGATGGTAGTGATGGTGATGTTGATTCAAATGCTGAGTCTGATGAAACTATAATTGAGGAAGTGGTTGTAGTGGTTGTGGTGGTTGTATTATTTGTTGATTGTAAAGACCCACTCTCATGATTTGATCCACTTATATCTTCGTTGCTTGTGCTACTAGAAATTGATTTGGTTAACATTGAGGAAAACATTTTTAAACCAAAAGTTTGCTTTTGTTCTTTATTATTCTTTTTCTCTTCTTCTTTTCTTAATTTTTCTTCTTCTTTTTTTAATTTTTCCTCTTCTTTTAATCTTTTTTTCTCTTCTTCTTTTTTCTTTCTTTCCAGTTCTTTTTGACGCTCTTCATCTTCCTTTCTCTTTCTTTCCATTTCCTTTTCCTCTTCTTTTCTTTTTCTTTCCAATTCTTTTTGACGCTCTTCCTCTTCTTTTCTTTGTCTCTCCAACTCTTTTTTGTGCTCTTCCTCTTTTCTTTTGTTTTCTTGAATAACCAATTGATGATACTCTTTTCTTTTTATATGGGATCTGATTAATGTTTGTAAATGTTTTGAAGAATCTAATCTCTTTTTAAAATCACTTTTAAGCTTAAGCATTTTAAAAAATGATTGAATAACTTTAACAGATTCTACTATGCTTGAATATCTATTATTCTCTAACGCTATATATAGCTCATCTGATATAAAAATCTTTGTTTTTCCGATTTGGAAATTTGGTTTATTGTTTGTTGTGGTTGTTATTTTAATACTACTATTTACATTTTCTAAGATTATTTTACATAATTGATTATTATTACTATTATTTTTACCATTTTTATTAATACATTTATATCTTGATAAAAACTGATTGAAGTCTCTTCTATATGAATAGCCCATTTTTCTAACTTTGATTGTATTTAAAACACCTACATTTCTTAATTGATGTAATACATGTAAATTATTAAAGTTATTTGGATCCATAGTTATATTTGGTTTAATACAACGCACATAATGTACTGAGGTTGAGTTTATGGTTCCAATTAATCTATTTAGTTGTTCAACGAAATGACCTGAAACTGTTAAGCTTTGAGTTGATTTTTTAATATTATGACTTCCGCTATTGCTAAGTGGATTATTACCACTATTGTTTGCACTTGATCCTGAATTAATATTTGAATTAAATCTTTCTCTTGGTGGTGAGGCTTTAGCAGTTGTATTTGATGGTGATGGTGGTGATTGTTGTGTGTTTGGTGGTGCTGTTGATGATGGTGAAAATAATGATTTTACTAATTGATTCGATGATGCTACTAATAATGCCTCAACATCCCCTGAAACTGTATCTCTATTTTTTTCCAACCAATTTTCAGTTTGATAAGTTACATCACCTGCAAAATGTTTGATACCAAGAGTTCCTTTGGCCAATGTTCTTATATAATATTGGTTTGTATTGTGGTACTGTTTACTGTATTTTTCTAAAAGTGCAGTTTCTGATCCCTTTGGCATTAAACATTCATCATCAAGCAAAGATAAGATACCAAACGATTTCTTTTCAACTAATTCGATGCATTCTTTGTTATCAATAAAATTGGATGAACTCCATGGTATTCCCTCGGCCAAGTATTCTTTTTGTTCGTTTTCAAAAACATTTAAATTGAATTGTTGTTGAAGTTTTTCATTTGTAAAATTTATTAATAATTGTTCCAGGTTATTTGATGAAAGATTTTCAAAACCAAAAATATCTAAAACACCTATAAATAAGTTATTCTTTTTATCTACACCACCAGCTAAATCTCTTGAGGTTGTATTTTGAAGGAATTTTAAATTAATTTTTTCGACAATGTGGGAAAATAATTTTACATAAAGCGATTTTGAAAGAGCATCTCTAGTTTGTTCAGATTGAGAAACTTCCATTGGTCTGCAATAAACAGAACCTCTACCGCCAGATTTTAAATTTCTATTTATTAAAGATTGCTTAAAAACGAGCTCCGAGTAACCCAATAATTTTGATACTTGAGCTACAGCTTCTAAAACCTGAGGCTTTTGTGAGACTGATGAAAAACCATTATCGTCCTTTTCAAATTCGATATTACCCAAATGTAAAATAGCAGCCAGTATTAAAAATATATTATCACATTGTTCTTTACTTATTGACATTGACTCCATAGATTGTTTAATTAGTTTGAAGCTTTCATCCGACTTTTGTGGATTCATTGATTGATTTTTAAATGAATCTAAAACATCTTTATTTGCGTCTAAATATCTATATTTTGATGGATCATTTTCAAGTCCCCAGAGCTTTCTTTCATCTGATGAGGCGCCCCAAACCAAATAATAAAAAATATGATAACTGAGATTTGATCTATCAGGTCTATGTGAAATTCTTGACTTCTCTAACAAATAGGTTTCAATTGAAGCACCATCAATCTTGAAATCACTTGAACGAAATTCAATTTTTAAAAATTTACCAAATCTACTACTATTATGATTTTTGGTTGTTCTTGAATTACCAAATGCTTCTAAAATTGGGTTTGATGTTAAAATATCTTTTTCTATTGAATTATTATTATTATTATTATTGATATTACTACCACTTGTATTAATTAAAAACTGTAAAATCGTTTTTGATGCCTCTGTTTTCCCTGATCCTGATTCGCCACTTATTATAATTGATTGATTCTTTTTTTCTGATACCATCGATTGATATGCTCTTAGTGATACTGCATATATATGTGGTGATTTTTCTTTTAGAAAATTTATATCTTTATATTGATTTAAAATTTCATTACTATATATATTTAAATTTTTGTAAGGATTAATTGAGATTAAAACATTTCCAATATATGTCTAAATATTTTTAAAAATATTTGTTAATAAGGTGAAAGATTTTAAAAAATTTAAAAAAAAATTATACATACATAAATTTCATCAGATTTATATCTAATATTTAAATTATTTAAAATTATAGCCTCTGATAAATCTTGAATTTCAACCATATCATTAAAATTTTTATCGTCTGAGCTGTTATAAGGCAAAATTGATTGTTGATTGACCTTTATTTCTTCGTTTGATTCCAGTAATTGTACATTTATTATTTTTTTATCCCCTAAAGAGGTTACTTTGCCCTTACAATATCCATGTATAGAATGAGGTATCCATACTTGATCACCTTCTATATGGGTCATTTTTTTAAGCAAAAAAAAAAAATTCTAATTCTATTAAAAAAAAAAAAAAATAGTTAATAAATATTTCAAAAAATAAATAAATATAATAAAAAAAATAATAAAATTTTAATTTAAAAAAATAAATAAAAAGAAAATTAAAAATTAAATTAAATAAAAAATAATATGTGAACTATAAATTATTATAATGATACACTTTATTGATTTTGTGGTGTTTTGTTTTTTAAAAAATATAACATTATTTAATTAATTATCTCAATTAAAATACCAACAAAAGAATATAGTTTTAAAAGCGCACCATTATGAAATTGATTATTAACATAATAATTGAAAAAAAATTTTAAAAAATTGTATGATTGTGTGTGGAGATGAATTATATTTATAGAACACAAAAAATAGAAAAAGAGGGAAAGGTTATTATTATTATTATTATTTCACATCAACACAAGTTTTATTAATATTAAAACCAAATGTATTGTATGTGGGTGGTATTGAAAAATATAATACTATCTATTTAAATTTTTAAAGTTGCGTCTAATAAACTATTATTGAAATGTGGTAAAAAAAAAAATTTGGAGTGGGTAGGTGTGCTTTGTGTGAGGGTTCAATTTATAAAAAATTAATATTGGAAAAAAAAAAAAAAAGAAAAGAAAAGAAAAGAAAAATAAAATATTATTTAATAATTAAAAGGTGGATAACCAATTTAAAATGATTTTTAGTTGAAAAATGTCATATGAATGATAAAAAAAACATAAAATAAAATTACTGATTAAAAAATAAAAAGAAAATTGAGGATTGTTTTCTTTTTTTAGTTTTTTGAAAATATTATATTATTATAATTTTATATAAAATAAATAAAATTTTATATAACATTATTCTGTGTAATTATTGTTTGTAGTGTGATGAACAAATTATTGTGAAAAAGAAAAAAATGTGATCTTGTATTTTTGGATATTACCGAAATTTTGTTTTTATAAAAGATAAATTAAACTGAACAATACTAAAGTATAACTATCTTTAGAAAAAAAAAAACAAAAGAAAAAAAGATAGAGATAAAATGAAATAAATAAAATAAAAAAAATAAAATAAAATAAAAATAAAAATAAAAAAAGATTTTTGTGAAAATTAAAATAGATATAAATATGATTATTATTCATATCTGTTTAAATGTCCATATTTAATTTATTTTATTGATAAATATGTAAAACTTTGAAAAACCTATATTCTATTGATATGATCATAATTGTTGTTATCCCCCCACTTTATTTTTTGAAAAATTGATACAATTATTTATTTTAAAAATAGAAAAAATTTTGCAACTAAAAACAAATACTACCTCTTTTTTTAAAAAAATAAACTATAAAACAAAATTATAAAATAAATTATCTGATTAAAAAAATAAAAATAAAAAATAAAAAATAAAATTTTTTTTTTTTTTTTTTTTTTGTGATTACAATAAAAAATTACCTATAAATCTATAGATTAATTATTTTTAACTATTGAGATAATGATTTAATATTATTATGTTTATTGTTGTTGTTTTTTTTTCTTTTTTTTTTTTTAGGTGATGGAATGAGTTAAGTGTTGGGTGTGTGAAATTTAACTGCTAATATGAAAAAATACAAATAAAATAATGAAAAAAACACCCCAAATTTCAAATAAAAACTTACAAAATTTAATTTAATTGTGTGTTTGTATTGATTGTTATTATAGTTATTTGTTATTTCGATTTAACGATGTCATCCCCTACGTATAATTCCCCGAT